ATTTCATTTTAAAAAAGTTTGTTGTGGGGGGACGTTTTAAAACCTTTCGGTTTTTTTAAAAAAAAAAAAAAAAAAAAAAAAAAATGCTGCTGCCATGGACACAAGAGGCCAAAACATTTATATTTTATTGTCCCGGTGTTGTCGTGGAAACAAGTCCTTATTCCAATTTAAAATCCAAGATGGCTGCCAAGTGTTTGAAACTGTTACAAATACAGTGACAAACTGTTTATTTAGGCTTTTATCTCTCCCACAAATGTACAACTTCCTTCAGAGAACATGTATATTCCTTTAGCTTGTTTTGCTAATAGCAGTTAGCTTGTCACTGAGCACAGCAACTAGCAAATTCCAATGATTTTCCTGACTTATAACTGTTAATGCTGTTAAATCTTTTCCAAAGCCACATTCCAACTTTAATGTTTTCTAAACATAGATCAATGTACTCGCGCAGTCCTTTTAAAACTTTTTATAAGCTTTATTTTTAAACTTGTACAGGTTTAACACAGAGACAGCCCATAATACTACCAGAGATACTTATACCACAGCTTGTGAATAAAGCTTAGAAATGTAATAGAAATGAAAATCTTTCCTGTTTTTATATCTGTATGTATGGTAGGCTAAATTGATATTTCAGCATTTGATAAAAACAACACCTTTCTAACACTACTGTTCTTAGTGTGAAGAACATGATGCAGACCACAAAGCTGGGAGTGGACACAAAGGTAAAAAGTCTGGCCTCGGCTCCATCTTCGAGAGGACCTCCACTCCAAAAATGAGTAAATTAAAGGTCTGACATTCACACCATTCATCCTTCACATGCAGGAATCCATATAGGCTGTGAACCTGCAGTTTAAGTAAGAACATCTGTCCTCTTCGTTTCGGGTGTGTCTGCAGGAAGCTCCCAGTCCTGAAGGTGGCGTTATAGTGAACACAGCCCAGGATGGGTGTGCAGAGGGTCTGGTTTATGGCGGAGGAGGGAAAGAGGGGATCTTCATAAAGAAAGTAGTTCCAGAGTCACCAGCTTCAAAAAGTTTAAAAGTCAAAGAAGGTTATTTATTCATTTTATTATGAATACTAATTAGATATACATGATTATTAATTTGTGCAACGTCAATGTTGCACAAATTTGTGTAACAAATTGATCTGTGTAACAAATTAATTTGTCTAACAAATTAATTTGTTACACAGGTTCAAAACAAGTTAGAAATAAATAATAAATAATTGTAATTTCAATTATTTTGTCCTAGTTTGTTCCTTAAACACCACTTATTTCGTTGCAACAGATTGAAAGTCAATTCTTCTTTAGAGGATCTGATCATTCTTTTTTTTTTCCCCCATTGATTTTTTTTGTAGGTGATCAGATTCTGAGCGCCACAGTGTATTTTGACAACATGTCGTATGAGGACGCCATTCAGATTCTGGAGCATGCTCAGGCTTACAAGTTGAAGCTTTGCCTAAAACGCCAACCGGACATCACAGAGACGGAACCAACTATCGATTCAGACATTATTCCTGTAACTATTTTGAAGTTGTATCTGCTAGTATTTTTTTTCATGAATGTAATTTGATATTTAATGTTTCCGTTGCTTAACAGGAGGAAGAAGTCGGCTCCACAGAGATGAGGGAGCAAGGAAAAACCAGAAGACGTGGCGACGCTCGCATCTCATGGCCAAAGTTTCCCTCCTTTGGAAAAGGACGTAAATCTCGTTTCACGAGGTCTCACAGTTCGTCAGAAGCAGATGAGCAGAGAAAACTTGAGCTTAGTCCTACGACAAGTGACACAGAGTCACCTGTAAAATCCCAGGATGCCCTGAAAGGAAAGAAGAAGCATAAAATAAAGTTCTCTGGTCTAACGAGAAGAGGCCGCATAAGTTCATCTGAGGACCAGGACACGGATGCTCCAACATCTGGGCAGATGAGTAGTGACGTTCAGCAAAAGCAGGAATCAGACACACTTTCACCTGAGTTCCCTGAATACCCCATTGGAGAAACACCAGAGGTTAATGAACAGGCAGGGGAAGCTGTGGAGTCTGGCCCGGTTCAACACAAGGTGGAACTCGTCAGTATAGACGCTACTTTGAAAACCGCAGATCAAACCGTAGCGCTGGGCGATCAGGAAGGCCAGTCTGGAGCTCCAAAATCCCCAGACGAGAAAAAAAAGAAGGAGAGGTCAGAATTAAAAATAAAGATCCTGGGGAAGGACAAATCGCACAAAAAAGACGCAAAAGCAAAATCCTCTCCCAAAAGGCTTAAGACTCTAGGAGCAAGTGTTGAAACGGAAGATCTTCCAGAAGCAGGAAAATCTGCTGCTATCTCAAGCTCTGAGTCAAAAACCAAACTGCTGGGAGATCAGTCTATGGTCGGTGTAGATAGCAAAAGCCAAGGTGGAGAGAGTTCAAAGCTAATCTCATCCAAATCCATTACATCACAGATAAGTTTACCAAAGGTGGAACTTGACATATCAGTGAGGAAATCTCCCAAAAAAGGTGACGACAAAACACAGAAAGGAAAGGAGACGAAACTGAAGCAATCCAAAAAGTCCAGTCCAAAACGTAAGCAACCTGAATTAGACATGAGCAACGTTGCTAATGCAGAAGAAATGCAAAAGGTGAATGATCAAGAACCCTCAACTATAACTGGCCGTGTTTCCACAACACAACTTCCCAAACGTGAAGACATTGAGATTCCAGGAATGGAGGACATGTCTGTGAAAACCACCGTGGAAACTAAAGCTGATTTTAAAAAGCACAACAAAGAAAGCAAGGCTGAAACAGTGCAAATGTCAATTGATGTTGATAGTGTGAAAGAAGCTGTTTCTAAATTACCTGGATTTAAGCTGCCTCAACTGGATATATCTGGGGTGCCTATCCCAGAAGAAATAACTGTCATAGATGCTAACGCACAAAGAATATCTGTAAAAACGCCCACCAAAGTCGTGAAACCAAAACAAGAACATCTGACAAGCTCTGACACAACGGCATCTTCAGAAATCTCCAAAACAATCTTTTTAACTGACAGCAGGTTTGATTTTAAGAAATCTCAAATGGAAGATAGGACCAGCCCAACAAAGTGCAAAGGTGAAGAGGAAACTAAAGAAAACGAATTTGAAACAACAAACGGAAAAGCAGCAACAACAGAAGAGCTGAAGACGTCCACTAGGCCAAAGATAACGATGCCTAGCTTTGGAATGTCAGCAAAAAGCAGAAGACTGCCTTATATTGGGATTGACATGCAGAAACCAAGCTTCATTCAGGAAAACGAGCTAACAATGGAAACAAGGAAAGATGAAAAACAAACTGGAGAGGTCATATGTAAAGTCAAAATACCTGAACTTGATGGTATTGAGTATATTGACTCAACGGACGAGTCGTTCAAAAAGGATGGTGGCTTGACAAGTTTTAATGTAAGTACTGACACGAAGACAATACTTGCCATTTCTTTAGAAAGTAAAGAAACATTTGATAAACCCGAAGATGAAAGGAATAAGATGTTCAAAGTTGGAATATCTCCTTCGGGCACACCCAGTGGAAAAGAGGATATCTCTGACGAAGGGACAACAAAACCTCTTGACGGAGATGGAAAGAGTACATTTAAATGGCCAAACCTGGACATCTCAGTGCCAAAAATGAAAGAAACAATAGTTATTAACACATCTAAGAAAGACACAGTTCACACAGAAGCTCTGGCTAAAGGAGGGCTAATCCCAGAGAGTGACACACTCCTCAAGAGCTCAGATGTTCCTAAAGAAATTGCAGAGGCAGAAAAACCTCAAGTGGAAATAGAGCCAACTGAAACTGAAGGCAAGTTTGATTGGGAAGCAAGCAAATTTGCGAAGTTTGGAACTAAAACGGCAAAAATCAAAGGCACAGAATTTGACTTGAGTTTGTCAAAGAAAGAGATACCTGGCGAAGCTGCAGATAAACTCCCAGAAGCATCTAAAACAGAAGTTACTCCTGGAAAGGGAAATGTATATTTTCTAAAGCAAAAGATGCAGTTAGAAAAACCTGGAGAAGTCAAACCTTTGCAGTCCAAGGGTGAACATGTACAAGGAGGCAAAATAAAAATCCCAAAGTTTGGAGTCAAAACAACAAAACTAGCAGGTCCTGAGATAAGCTTGTCTAAGAAAGATGCAGAGGTTATCCTGCCAGAGGTGAAACCTGAGATCAAACTCACTGAAGGTTCAGAAACAGATGTGAACATAGATAGTGTTAGGCCAGAAGAAAAGAAAGGAATAGAAAAGTCTGATCAGAAAATCAAAACAGTGCAGAAGGAAGGTGAAGCGAAAGGATACAAGATCAAAATGCCCCAGTTGGGAATCGCACTGCCAAAAGTTACAACACATGAGTCAGATTTAAGCCTGTCGAAGAAAGCTAAAGATCTGACACTGCCTGAAGTTAAAGGAGAAATCAAAGATCTTGAGGTTGAAGGAACTGGATCATCAACAAAACTAGATGTTAGAGCTCCTGGAATTAAAGTTGAAACAAAGGATGTTGAAGGATCGTCGTCAAAATTCAAAATGTCCCCTTTTAAAATTCCCAGAATTGGAGCTGCTACTCCAAACCTCAGCGGTGAGGTAAGTGAAGCTTCTGAAACACACACAGTGGAAGATGGGCCTGGTATTGATGCTACCATACCAGACTGTGATGTAAAAATTAAAGCATCTGAAATTGATGGAAGAGCAAGTAAGTTCAAAATTCCAAAATTTGGAATATCACTCCCAAAACTAAAAGGTTCTGAAACAGATACAACCCAATCCCAAAGGGTTGATGTAGATGTCACATTGTTTAAAGGTGACACTGAAATAAAACTCATTGATGCTGAGCATGAAGAACCTGGTATCAGGCTGAAGGGAACATTTCCCCAGATTGGAGTTCAGCAAGATGTTGAGTACTCAGCATCAAAACCTGAAATCACAGTGCCATTTTCTGATGCTAAAGCAGAAGTCAAGGTGTCGCAAGTCGATGGAGAAAAAATCAACTTTTCATCTCCTGTTGTCCTTAATGAGACACCAGAGGTGGAGATCCCGACCATGAAGGCTGACAATCACCTTGATGGACAAGAAGAAAAGATGAAGCTGTCAAAGATTGGAATAAAGATGCCCAAAATTAAAGGACCAGAATTTCAACTTGGACTCTCAAGTAAAGACACAGATGTCATGGAGGCAGAAGGCAAAGTGGACAATAAATCTAAGGCAGAAATCCCAGTTCCTACAGCAGATGTTAGTCTGGGAAAAGCAGAAATCTTGATACCTTCTGGAAAAGTGGAAATTGGAAAACCAGAAGTGCAAACTCAACCTACAGTTGAAGGACAAGGAGGCAGGTTCAAAATGCCAAAGTTTGGAATCACAATGCCAAAAGTCAAAGGACCTGAAGCAAAGAGGGATGTAGAGGTGAAACTTACTGAGAACAAGACTGACATAAAAATACCTGATGCTGATTTTGAGGGACCAGATGTGGAACAATCACCATCAAAATTTAGTATGCCAACTTTCAAATTACCAAAATTAGGACTGGGCACTTCAGACAAAAATGTAGAAGGAGATGACATTGATAAGGACATTCCTGATGAGGTTCTTGAAGTTACAATTGTTGCACCTAGCTCTGACCTCTCAAATATTGATGTTGACACTCATCTTCTTGAAAGTAAAGTTGAAGTTGCACTTTCGAGTGATGATGTGAACAAATACTCCATTGAAGTGGAAGCTACAGCTCCACAAATCAAAGTGTCAAAAAAAGAAAAAGAAGGGTCACCATCCAAATTTAAGATGCCGACATTCAAGTTACCAAAATTTGGGCTTTCTGTTCAAAGGTCTACTGAAGAAGAGCCTCCTCTGGACAAAGATCTCAAAACAGGAGAAGGTGAAATTACGACTTCTGGAGAGATTCTTTCACCAAGTCTAGAAGCACCAAGAATTGATGTTAAGGCTCCAGCAGTAGATTTAAAAACTACAGGAACTGAGAGTGAAGGAAGAGGAAGAAAGTTTAAACTGCCAAGTCTTGGTTTTTCATCATCGCAAACAAAAGGTCCTGATAGTGACATTACCTTACCCACAACAGACGTTGACAATACCTTACCCACAGCAGATGTTGATGATACAGTACCACAAGTCAAAACAGAAATCAAAATACCTGAAGAAAAGCTTAGCAAATCATTTGAA